AGTCCCTGTGGGTTTGTTTTGTGGACCTGCGTACCCCATCTTTTGACAGCTCCCTTGCAAAGGTGTGCTCAGAACCCACACACTAGAAACACACCCAAGCTTCACCTCCCTAGAGGAGACTGAGCGGAGCCAGTGAGATTGTTTGCATTTTTCAGTGTTGTGAAAGGGGAGTGACTTTTCCCCATGGCTATGCTCATGTTCATAAGCTCTTGGTGCATTTTTAACATGTGTGCAGGTGCCCATGAAGACCCAGAGAGGGCATTGGATGCCCTGGAACTGGAGTTAAAGGAGGTTGTGAGCTTCCAGTGGCCCCACAAACTGCCCAAGCCTCAAAAGTGACACCCACATTCAGGGAACATGACTAAGTCTTATGCAGGTTCCCTAACTGTCAGTCAGCTCCCACTTGCTCAGGACAACTGTTTCTTTGGGTTTCCCCAACATGGTCCTGACTCCCTTGCTCATTATCACTCCAACATCTCTACAGCTGGACTCCAGGAGCTCAGTCCAGTGCTTTTTAGCTGTGGATCTCTGCATCTGCTTCTATCACCTACTGGGTGAAGGCCTCTATGATGGCAATTAAGGTAGTCATCAGTCTGATTACAGGGGAAGGGCAGTTAAGGAACCCTCTCCACTATTGCCTTGATCCTTCTTGGGGTCATCCTTGTGGATTCCTGGGAATTTCCCTAGTGCCAGGCCTCTCGTTAACCCCACAGTAGCTCCCTCTATCAAGGAATCTTTTTCCTTGTTCTCCCTCTCTGTCCTTCCCCCAACTCAGCCTGCCTGATTCCTAATGTTCTCCCCCCCCCACTCCCCTACCACACTCCCAATTTCCTCAGATCTCACAACAGCTCTCTTGGGCATACATCCACACTACAAGGACATTTGCTCAACTATGTTCACAGCAGCATTATTTGTAATAGCCAGAACCTGGAAACAACCTAGATGCCTCTCTACCGAAGAATGGATAAAGAAAATGTGGTACATTTACACAACGGAGTACTACTCAGCAGTAAAAAACAATTACATCCTAAAATTCAAAGGCAAATGGATGGAAGAAACCATCCTGAGTGAGGTAACCCAGACCCAGTAAGACAAACACGGTATATACCTTCTCAGAAGTGGATATTAGACATAAAGCAAAAGATAACCAGCCTACAGACTACAACCAGAGAAGCCAGGAAACAAGGTGGACCCTAAGAGAAACATACATAGACATACCCACACCAGAAGTGGAAATGAACAAGATCTCCTGAGTATTTTCAAGTTTTAATAACATATTTGATGAATCTTCTGGAAACCTTAAAACAAGATAACCCCTGTTTAACTGATTAGTGTATGACCTCAGCTTGTGTCATCACTCCTCAAAACTCCTCTCCTACATCATAAGACAAACTCCGGGCTGTGTGTGGTGGTGCAGGCTTTTACTACCAGCGCTTGGGAGGCAGAGGCAGGCAGATCTCTGTGCATGTGAGGCTACCCTAGTCTACAGTGAGTTCCAGGTCAGTCAGGGCTACACAGAGATCCTATCATAGAGTCAACATAAGTCTGTTATAGTCAATCTGTCATTTAAATTCCATTAATCTCTGGTTTTAGTGGAGTCGTAGTTTATTTTCTGAATGAAGCAGCTGAGAGGCAATGGTGTCATTTTTTTGTCCATGTCTTAAACAGTTGTCATGTGACAGTCTCTCTTTACAAGCAATCTTATGAAAACAACCTCTCATACTTGCTGATGGTCATCTTGATTAAGACAGCATTAAGAAATTCCTGGTGACAATCAAGAGTGACTGTTAACTCGAGGTTAACTCATAGTACTATCAAAGTAAAACTTACAGCCAAAGAATTAAGACCTACTTCTCTTTGCTTCTGATCATAAAATTAATCTTAGGTTCTAAAATTCTCGTCTCACTTTTACCCTATGAAAGGACACGTATTAAAGGGGAAAGAACTGGGCAGGAATAAACGTGACGTGTTATGACCTGTGGAAGGAGATGCTCAGGTCATGTCCACTACTTTAGAACACGAGAGTTTGTTTCTTTAAGGACAGTTCCAGGAGGAAAAGTCAATCTCTGTACAAGTAACTTCACCACTTTGACACCAAAACTCAGTTGGCAACCCAACCAGACCTCCCAGGTGGGCTTTTACATACACTGTATGCTCAGTCTTTATCCCCTTTATCTCTATTTCTCATAGATTCTGATGCAGAAGCAAACCTCCCCAAATTGTGCCACTGTGCAAATCATAGCACCTTATAAAATCTGAAAAATACCAAGTCTGAAGCATCTGGCCCTATAAGGTGCAAATCAGGGACTGTGGTATCCCACCGTAAGCAGTAGAATGATAGTGTCAGTATTAAAGGAAGCTCTTCTTTGGGACCAGGGAGGGAGGAGGCACCATCTGTCTGGCTGCTATAACAAAATAATACAGTCTAGGTGGCTTCTAAACAAATGAAAAACAAAATTGTCACAGTTCTGGAGGCCAAGGCGCCCTTGCAGCTGGGTTCTAACGAGGGCCCTCCTCCCGAATGCTGACTGTGGGCTTTCCCTGTGTCCTTGGGGGGCCAGAGGGCTCTCTGGGGTCTTCTTCCACCTTCATCGTGTGATTATCTCTCCAAGGCCACAGGACTGAATTCCATCACATTGTGTGCTAGGATTTCAGTGTATTTGAGGAGGACGCATTTGGTCCTTAACAGGCATTACCCCAGCAGCAAGAAGAGCTAGGAAGTAGTAAAGAAAATGCAATTCTAGCACCAGTGTGCAGGACCGCTATGATGGGTGCCAAGAATGTTGCAATTGCTAAGAAAACCCTAGCATGACAAAGACAGAGGTTAGTGAGTTGCAGGATCAGTGGATGGAAACACACCAAACAGAGGCATCTGTAGGGGGATTATTGCTGAAGTTACTGCTGAAGGCAGGCCAGGGATTCTCTCCGAACTGATTTAGCAGAACTCCTGTGGGACCAGGCAGAAAAAGTGTAAGGTTAGATGAGAACTTGGAAGGTCTGTTGGCCACTGAACCAAAGAAAGTCTGGGTGAGAAATACTCTATGGTTTCCTGCGTTGTGTGGTATACAAGTGTGTACATGTGGCAGTGTGTGCATGCATGTGGAGAGGCCGTAGGTGGATGCTTGGTGTCTGCCTCTGTCACTCTCCTCATTTATGGGACAGGAATCTCACTGAACCTAGAACCTATCTATTATCTATTAGCTACAATAGGCTAGCTGGCCGGAGGGCTCCAGGGATCGACAGTCTCTGCCCTCAGTCCCCCACCAGCAAGGCTAGGGTTACAGACATGCCTGATCATGTCCAGCTTTTACGTGAATACTAGGGTTCCACACTCACGTCTCCAAGCTTACTCATGCTTATCCCTTTTTGCTGTTTCACTATTCTGGTTTATTTGCCTGTCTTGAAAATGTTTTCCAAAGAAAGAGAAAGGAGGTATGAAGTTGGGATGGGTGGGGGGCAGAGGACCTGAGAGGTGGGGGACGAAAAACTGTGATCAGAATATATTGTATGGGATTTTCAATCTAAAAGATAAAAAAAAGGGAAAAATAAAATATTTCTCTGGTGACTCCACTCTGGTCACCGTATTCCCAGAGCTATCTTCTTTACATTTCAGTTGTCCCAAGGTAGTCTCTGTTGAGAAATCCAGTCCTAGGGAAAAAGCTTAAGTCAAAACTGAAGAGAGCTTGACTGTCCCTGACACAAACCAAAACCAGAGACAAAGGGCTTCAAGATGGCTCCAGTTTGGGTACAGCCTGACCCCGAGCCTGGTCCTCAGAACCCACACTGGCTAAGAGAGGACTGACTGCTGCAGAGTGTCCCCTGGCCTCTGTGCAATCGAACAAACAGATGGAATAAATGTGAATTAGGTAAAGGGCTTCGGGGTGTTGTTTGTTTGAGAAAGTCATATGCCCAGCAGTGGTGGTGCACTTTCATCCCAGAACTTGGGGATTGGGGAGGCAGAGGCTGATGGATCTCTGAGTTTCAGGACAGCCAGGGCTACACAGAGAAACCCTGTCTCAAAAACAAAACAAACAAAACCAGTTATACTAGCGGAAAAAAGAAAAAGAAAACCGAAAACTTAAGCCTGACTTACAATGATGGGCACCAAGCCCCTGCTCAGTGAAGCGTGGAGGGGTGGACATGGAGTAACTCCCAGACGGGAAGCACAGGAGTTGGTAAGAAGGAAAACCTTGCTCAGTCAGGGTCTACAGTCAGGGACTTGTTTCCAAGCAGCATTCCACATGGCCTCAAATCTGAGGATGTATTTCTACTCTACTCTCCATACTGAGAACTCCTCCTTGGCCATCCTGTCCCATAATCCTTTAGACCAGGGAAGAAGGACAAACTGAGCGGCCTCAAGAGAGCTCTTGGATTTTGAGCTCAATGTTCAACTGGAATGGGTGGGGCTGCAGTGCGTTCTCTTCAAGGGAAAGTAGCTCCAGATAACTCATAGTAAAAGACCACACTGTGGCCGGGGCTATTAGTGACAAGTCCTTCATCTCCTTCCACAGGGATAAGATGTAGCCACATGCGGCTACCCAGAGAAACAATCATATTTATCAGCCATCCTAGGCTTTGGATGTAAAGAGGCCTGGGCCATTTCAAGGCAGAGCCCATAACATCTAGACTCTGTGCACTCCCATTCACTTTCCTGCAAACAGAATAGTGTAACTGGTGATGCAGAAGCCATGGCTGAAAATGACAAAGCAATCTATGCATCAGGACCCACTAGTCTGGGAACAACAGAGAGTGAGGAGCCTGACCCAAACACAGTCCCTTCCCTGAACTCTAACCAGATGGGTAAGCTCCTGCAACACTGTGTTAAAAAAAATGTTCCTACTGAAGCAGTCTTGGATACTTAAATAAATACACTATACACTGTGACACTGCAAACCCTGGATACCCAAACTGAACACTGGCTTAGCAACTGTATCAAAATACACACACACACACACACACACACACACACACACACACACACACACACACACACCACAACCTCTGAAACAGCTTTTTATTAAACAGCAAAGCAGAACACAATTTTAAATATTTGTAATGCAGTCACAAAAGGGTTGCAAAATATCTGCAATGTGAGGATTACATGTCCATGTAGCTACTGTCACTAATACATTTGATGATCCCACAAGTCAACACAGCCCAACCTGAGAGCCATCAGCTGCACTAGTGGGTCTTTCCTGTCGTAACATTTTAACATTATTCTTGATATCAACTCCTTTATCAAATGGAAGCTACAAACCAAACAATTTTAAAATTGTTAAAAGAAATTACTAAAATTCTGCAAACAAAGTGGTTGCACTTACAGAAATTCTGGGAAAAACAACTGAGATAAAATACTAAAGTTAACAATCATCACATATACAAAACTCTTATATTCATGATTCATATACTAATATACTCTCAATTAATTTTGCAAAAGTTTATTTCCTGGGTACAAACCTTGAGACCAAACTCTTAACTGGTCCTCTGACATGTGACTTACTTAACCTGCTTACATCAGACTTAGTCTGATTTCATACTGTCCCAAAGTTGCAGCTGTGGGCCAGAGGTAACACACATCTGGAGAGAAAACATTTGGAGTTGGTTACTTCTGTTATCCAGTTTTCCTCCCTATTTCTATCTTTCCTCAAGATTTTCTATTTCTCACATACATGTGGCCAGCACTCTTATCTTTTTAACACCAAACGGGCTATTTTGTGTAAAAGGGACTTTTAGCTTCTCATTAGGACAATTTACATTTCAAAGAAAACCCTTCATTTTTATAGCTTCAATCTATCTTCAATTGATTAAAGAGAAACCATCGATCCTATCTTATTACTAACTATTACAAATGGCAAGCCTTAGCTAAGAAAGTATCTTATTTTGGTTAAGTGTCAACAGTTACAGTTCAGGTTACTCTGGTAGGTGACAACTACTGAAGTTACCGTCAGGGAGATGGGGGAGAGGCACACGATGGTGGACAGGGTACAGAAGCTGTGCATTCAGTACATGGTTTGGTCACTGTTCACATGGTTATTCTCTTGTATAGTTTACTAGTTAGGCATATGATAAAAGACAGTGCTAAACCTATAGATATATAAGCATTGGCAAAACATTTATCTTCAAGTTTCATAAATATCTGTCATTCTAATTATAAAGTCTCTACATTTGCACATTTTCATAGACTAATGTAATACATATAACATTAACTCAGGGATGTTTCCTGTTAAGCAGTTAATATTACCTAGATCTGACATTCTCTTTATAAATACTCAAGGAAGCAAAGGATACTGTAACTTTTGGATCATATCCAAGCTTTAAGAAAAAAAAAGCAGCAACTCCACAGATGAGAGGGAAGTGAAGCCTTTACTTCCTTTTGCTTTTTGTATCAGTTGTTTGAAAAACACTAGAAGCAGACATGAGGTTTTCTATATATTGTCCAAGAACTTGATTTTCCGATTTTAGCTTCAGATTTTCTTCCTTAACTGCATCTACTCTTGCAGAAAGATCTATATATATAAATAAAATAAGATTATCAATAAAATCATGGCAAGGGTTCCATATTATAAAACGCAAGATTCATTTAAAAGACTCAGGAGATGGAGATCAGGCTGAGGATGCGGCCCAGGGGTGTGGCCCTTGCCTACAAGTGTGAAACCCTGGATTTGACCCAGAGCACACCAATAAATAAGTATCACAATTTGCAAATTTTCTGTTTTTCAGTTCAGATTACTGGGGGTAAAGGCTTAAGTAAAGATGGTAAATGTTGACAGAGTTTCCCATGGGCCTCGGTCTGCAGAGAGCATTATGATAACTCTTACAGAGATGAGAAAACATTGTGTTTATAAAGGGTCCATGTCCTACCACGTGAAACTACAATGTTTTTACTGGAAATATTTAAGATCTGCAACTTAACACAACTGGATTCCTATGCTGGATATGAGATCCAAGCAGTGATTAAACATTAGTTAAAAATTCAAAAGACGCAGGTCCTCATGAACAAGTAAAAATGTATCTCCATTCACACATTTAAAAATGTCTAATGACCAACAGGAGCAGGCACCATTCTAGAAGCAACAGGGAACAAGGTTATATATGGACACATATGCGTTCGGTGACACAGGCACCCAGGTGTCAGGAGTAAACATCAAGAGTATGTCACATCTTCAGAAGAAAAAGCAAAATGACTGAGGGTCATGAGAGCAGATGAGAAGTGCTTCTTTAGAGTCTGACCAGAGGCCTGAAGGGACTGAGGAAATAAGCCACACTGACATGTAACTAGAGCAGGGAGTTAAAGCAGAGGGGACAGCCAGATAACCTGGGGTGGAGTTGACTGTTATGTCAAATGAGAAGCCACTGTGCACTTTGTGTCTCAACAAAAACCACCATTTAATGACCTTGAATATCAGAAGCCATAGTAAGGAAGGAAGTCAGAAAATGAAAATAAATCTATGATCAACTGGAATCTCTGGAGGTCATGTTTCTTTTCACGGTAATAGAGCTTTCCCGACACAGGCTCAGTAACACTCTCTCACGCTGAGCCGCACCCTGTGAGCAGAGGGCGCTCAAGAGCAGTGTTAATCTGAGGCGAGTTTGTCCTTTCCACCACCAGCCGCAAAGTAAGAGAAAATGGCGGGCCAGCAACATGGCTCACTGGTAAGGACACCCGCAACCCAAACCTGATGACCTGAGATCCTTCCCAAGATCCCTGTGATGGAGGGAGGGAGCATCCCCCACATCAGCTTCTGCATGCACACCCACATTTACAAACAACAGTAACTTTTTTCTTTCTACAAAATAACAACAAAACAAAAACAAACAAAAAGCCCCACCAACTATTAAGGTGGACTTTGAAGTTAACAGATGTCATTCACAAAACTACAGAATGTACTCTAACCTTCAAGTGTGTGCTGCAGTTCCAACACTTGATTAATAAGTCTCGTCTTTTCTTCCAGTTCCACCTGAGTCTCAGCATCAACTGCTGTAATAAAAAGTGTTAAATTTATCAATAAACACTGACAGTTCTAACATGCAGCACTTAGAGTTCCACAGAGCATGTCATAGCCACTGTCTCAATAATTGTGCACGCAGAACCTATGCCTAAGGGCAGATGGGGCACTAAATTGAGCACGCCATCAGTTACAGAACGGAAATCTCCTTGGATTAAACCATACTGCAAATGGGAGAGCAGTCAAGACCTAACCTTCTCTGTGTAGCCCTTGCTGTCCTGAAACTCACCGTGTAGACCAGGCTGGCCTAGAACTTGGAAATCCGTCTGATTCTACCTCCTGAGCGCTGGGACTAAAGGAATGTGCCACCACTACCCGGGTAACCTACACCTTCTAAAGATTGTTTCTCTGCTCTTTCCATTGCTTAATAAAGCAAAAGCATACAGAAAGGCAGAAGCAAACACAAAAAAGGTTAAAGACCTTACCATCCATGTCAGCATTCATCATCTTGGGTAACAGACTTTCAGCTCTTGGATGCACACTCTTTGATGAATGGTCTGCAACAAGAAAAACAATATAATATAAGCTTGTTTTTCAAAAGACAAGGCAGTTAAAGGATGTGTCCCAGAGGAACCCTCCTCAGGCCTTGCTGCTCTGAAGTGTTCACGGGTAGACAAGCAAAGGAGTCAGAAACCCTGTAAATCCTTTTACTAAGGACAATTAAAAGAGGAGGAAAGGTAAACACATAAAGGTCTTTCAGAGACAGAATGCCCAGAGTACAAATGGAAAGTGGACTCCCCGGAAGCTCTCAGTATGAAAGCTATTGAGCACCCTTACATAGCACAACTCCAGAACTGAACAACTGAGCATGCTCCCGAGCAGCACGGAGAGCCTGCTTTCTCGTGCTTTCCACTGAGGTTTATGGAGACTGTCTGGGCTTCAGAGAAAGTGAATTACTTAGATGATTTTTTTTCAAAATTCTTTTTTAAAAGTTATTAAGCTACTGTAGTATTTGAAGTGTGAACTTTAAGAATTCCTCTCAAAAAAAAAAAAAGAATTCTTCTCATTGCCATGCATTGATGGCGCACGCCTTTAATCCCAGCACTAGGGAGGCAGAGGCAGGTGGATCTCTGTGAGTTTGAGGCCAGCCTGGTCTACAAAGTAGGTTCTAGGACAGGCTCCAAAGCTACACAGAGAAAACCTGTCTCAAAAAATAAAAATTCTTCTCATCTACCAAACAAATGTATGACAATGTAAGGAAACTACACTGCATAATAATTCTTTTTAAATGACACAAAGCTGTTTTGTATGTATATGCCTGCCTGTGTGCATGTTAACGTGCATATTTTTGTGCAAATGTGGAGGTCACAAGTCAACTCTGGCTGTCTCCCTCAGTTCCTCCCACCTTATTTTTTAAGACGAAGTCTCTGGTTGAACCTGTAACTCACCAACTCCATCAGAGTAGTTTAGAGCAAGCTCCAGAAGTCCACTCCATCTCCCAAGCACTGGAGTAACATGCACATTGCCATGCCTGTGATTTGTGGGATCACTGAATGCAGCATGTGTACATACAAACACACACACACACACCTTACAAAGTTTCTGACTTACCAGCTGCCCTAGCTCTGAGATCCTCTATGTCAGTTTTAAAAAACTTTTCTTTGAAAATCGCAGGAAATGTCAGAGCCCGTGTGCACCTCGCTTGTTAGTGATTAGAGTCTGTAACCGTCTATACTTTAAATCCAGGAGTGCAAAGGGTAGAGAGAGTAAGGCTTAGGGGACATGACAAGCACTAGACCACCGCCACATGCTCACACTGTACCTTCTAAGACCTTTCCTCAGCAAGATGTTCAGCACAGTGATTAGACACAGATTTGCTCACTACTTATAACTTCACTCTGTACCACAGGCTCCAGAATTCTGGTCGAGTTTAAAAATCTCAGCCCCAGTATCCTCATCCATAAAATGGAGCTACTAACTGCCTCTTGTGGGTTTATTCTGAGAATTTAATGAGTTCAAATGTGTTTGTGTACTTAGTAAGCATGCAACAGATGTTAACTGTTACCCTCCCCCCCCCCCATTTCTATGCTCCTGTTTGGACCACAGAAGAAACTTTAGCAAAACCATGTGGCCAAATACCTCATATTAGAACTCAGGGCCAAAGAGAGTGGCCTAATTCACTTCACCAGAGTCAAGGATATACTCATGCCCATAGCCACGCCCTGTCTGTTTCGCCCACCCTCATCCCTCCACCCCACCCCCCATTGCACCTCAGCTGGCTTAACATCTCAGATTCGAGTTTGACATTTCCCTAATAACAACACATCCAAACGCAACCACGGGGCTATTCTGCTTTTGCCACTGATGTTTCTCATCGGTTGCCTACTTACCAATGAGCTAAGAGTCCAATGCACTAAATTAATGAACTAAAGACTTCACATATACAGATTTATCAAAACAGAAGGAAACTGCAATTCACAGACGTGGATACTAAGCCTTAGACAGATCAGGGCCCTCGCCTCCTGTTTCATAGCCAAGACATAATTAAGGTCCTAATCTGAGCTCGTCAAACGGTTTGGAAAGCTCGAATTCTTTGTCACTTCCAAAAACTAAGCAACTAAAGATAAATTCCATCTGCCTCAAGCTGCTCCGGTCAATTTGTTTCTATCTGTCCATGTTCTGCTTTGACATATTCTGGGTCTCGAATTCCACGGAAATCGAGGGACTACGCGGTCAGTAAGGATTTCAAATTTAAGTCAGGTCTCCACAGAGCTGGCTGCATCCAGTTTATCACTGGATCCCACGCACAGCTTTGGGCCTCGGAAACGGATAACGGTTCGGGGACGTCTGTCCTCACGGCGATTACACCGCAGCACATAACAGAAATCCTGGCTTCTCGAGAACATCTGCATTCTCCTTCCAAAACCGCACTCGACAGCATCTGTTTCTCAGGACGCTTGAGAACAGGCGACAAAGAAACAAGCCCAGGCCCCCGAGCAGAGACGTCCCGCCCCGGTCGGACGCGGACGGACCACCGCGCCCGCGACCCAAGCCTAGCCTTCGGGAGGCAGCGGCGGGAGGACTGCCGCGAGCGGAAAGGTAGGTAGCTGGGGCTGCAGAGCATCCTCCCCCAGCACCGGGGTCCCACCGCAGCCCCGCAGCGTCCAGGTCCCGCACCGCCGGGCTCTTCCCGCGGACCCCCGCGGCGTGCGGCCGGGAAGCTGGCCGCGCAAGGGCTCGGCGGGGCGTCGGGCCTCGCGGCCCCCGCGATCCAGCGCCCAGACCGCCGCCCCGGCCCCCGCCCCGCCCCTACAGGGCCCCCCGGCGGTAACGAGGCTGCGAGGGCGGCCCCGCGACCCCGGCCCACGCCGCCCCGGGCCGCCTCACCTTGCGTCTGAGGCGCCGGGAGGGGGCGGGATGGGTGAGACGCCTCAGGCCGCGGCTCTCGGACCAACTGACAGCGGCAGCCCCGCCCTTCCCGCCCACGGAGCGTGCGCCGAGCGAGGGGGCGGACTCCCACCAATCCTACCGCGAGAGCTCACGCCTGCGCGTTGGCTGCCGGCCGCGCTGACCCCGCCCCCGGCGGAGCACCGGGGTCCACCTTTGCCCTAACAAAAGGGCATTGACGCCCAATCAGGACCGTCCTGGAAAAGCGGCGGCCAATCACAACGCAGGGGAGATGCCGCTGCAGAGAAAGGGAAGCTGGCCGAGCGGCTTTTGTCTGGGCCGGAGCCTGGAAAGTGCTTAGGTAGGAGCTTAGTCTGGAGACTGACACAACCAGACTCTGGGCGAAACCATTCGTTCACGTTCAAAGCAGAGTGAGCAGAACAGGATAGTCTGCCGTCCCTCCGTTCTAAAAGCACATTTTTTTTTTAATTTCTAAAGTCAGAAAACGCATAAAGCATATACCATTAATGGATGTTTCTCTTCGTATCCCCGAATCCTCCACGAGTTTTAAGCTCACAGTTCGCCTGATCACCCCATGATGCCTTAGGTCAGCGTCGTCTGGTCTCATTGGATCTCACAGAAGCACTGTCCACTCCTGCAGAGGACCCAGGGTCAGTTCCCAGCACCCAGATGAAGGTTCACAACTACCTGCGATCCCACCTCCAGGGGATCCAACACTAGCTTCTGTCCTCCGTGGACATTTCATGCAGGTGGTGCACATACATACATACAAGCAAAATACTCACATGCAAAAATAATTAAACCTTTTGATTTGAAATCACCCTGACCTGCCAGCCCGATACACACACCCTCGAGATGCACATAAAAATGTAATCAGTAATCAGAGGGATCCTAAGCACGCCGGATGTTTAAAAGTGAAATATGCTAACGGGAAACATGTGGTACTTTTAATGGAGCCTGGTGTGTGCCCTGATGCTTAGAACTCACGAGTTCTTAAACCCTACTTCGTCTTGTTTTTAGATAAGAACTCACGTTTTCTTTTTTCTAATTCTTTTTCCCTTGCAAGATTATTGAACGCACTGGAGAGTGAGAGCTGTCTTGAATTCAGTGACGGAAAACTGTACATTGCTTACTGAAACTTGATTTCAAAACTAGGCCTAAAAGTATATTCTGGAATAGAGTACTATACTTAGCATGAGCCATATTGTCACTTGGTAAATTACGTTAGTTACATGTGCTTTTCTCAAGTTTGGCTAATTTATGAGTCATTTCCATCCATTTTCCAGGGCAAGTATAGAGGTTGCCACTGCATTTTTTAGAGAATTTTTCAAAGAATTAAAGATCTTAAGATCTACTTGGCATTAAACTTTGGACCTTAGTGGGGAAACAAAAAGAAAGTAATATATAGTTATGCTGATTTTTCCTCACATGAGATTTTTAGCCAGATTTTATTTATTTACCTTGTATAAGAAATACAACATGGTTCTTTATAACATAAAATATAAAAATAACGTAATCAGTCCTTCATTTGCAGATGCACTTGCTTAGAACAAAGCCAAATCCATTAATTACTTCAACAGCTAATATATTATTGAAAAATGTCAATGCTGTATACAAATAGATGATTTGGAAAAACCTTGATAAGCAGTGCAACAAAGTTGCTGTGGTATTGTGTGATTGTAATCCCACAGAGGGAGGCATAGGGAAGAAGTTGGCTCCAAGTTTGAGGCCAGCCTGGGCTACATATAAGTTCCAGGCTAGCCCGGAAGTCTAAGCATATTTCCTCAGCAGGTTATCTTCTGCCACTCACAATTCCATGATCCTGTAGGTCTCACAATTACACATGCGCACAAACATACATCACAAATAATTTCAGGAGGGTAACATATTTCACTGAGTTTTTTAGAAATAATCTGGTTTTAAAGTCAAGATTAAGCATTTGAGTATAGTAGCATTAAGAATTCTGGGTTTCTAGCCTCCAAAACAATACAGAGAAACCCTGTCTCGTAAAAACCAAAAAAAAAAAAAAAAAAAAAAAAAAAAGAATTCTGGGTTTCCTGTTTTGTTTTGTCGGTGGCCTCCACTTTTAATCCCAGCACTCGGGGAGTCAGAGGCATGCAGATCTCTGAGTTTGAGGTCAGCGTGGTCT